TGATTTGCAACTAAATTTGACATTGTTTATGGTCACTGCTTCGGACTGTGACAGTCGTTTTGTGCTCGATCGTTTTTTAAATATATCTGAAAGTTTCAGGAAGAACATCACTTCGCATCTTTCAGTGTACGTACGCGCTGTTTCTTTCCTCCTTCCCCCCTTCTGTCCATCGCTTCGAATACCCCCACGCGTATTTCGAACCCTCGGCACCATGTTCCTCGTATCTGTTTCCCCTGTACAGTCGCTTAACTCAGCTTCTTACTTCGAGTGTATACACACGCGGGATTACGGCTCTTTGTTCGGCTTCGCCTGTCTCAAGTTAAGGTGGGGAGGGGGCGGCGGGTCAGTAGCCCTTCAAGACCCGTTGAAAATTTAGACGGCATCAAGTCCTAAGAAGGCACAAGACACTACGATTTGATCGAGAAAAAAGCGGAGACAAAATTCGTGCAGCTTGCTCTGATAGCTGACCGGTTGCGTGTTGCCCTCGAACTCTGACCATAGCGGCGAGTACTATTTTCGATGAGGGCGGGGAAGTGGAATTAGCTGATTTTGTCTGTTTAAGAATCGGGGAACACTTGGTGCCTCAGGGAGGGCTCTCTGTTACTCAAGAATCAGTGGGTGATGTTTTGCTACAATAAGAGAAGTTACAAAGGTACATCGTGTGCATTTTCGCCAGCTGGTGCAGTGCCGGTCAAGTGGTGTCCGTCGAAAATGCTAGGCTTGGGTGATTGTCATGTTGGTTTATTATTGCATCTAATAATAACTTATGTTCGATGCTGGTGAGTTCAGTAGACTGCCGCCAGCTCTTGCTTGCACCTTGGCGTCCCTCCATCAAACTGTGCATTTTTGAGACAACAAACGCAAATTGTTCAGCCATTCAACATTTAGCAGGTTTCGCAACTTTAATCATCCACACTGCAGGCGCACAGGCATCGTAACTGCTCCCTTCTTTTTGTGGAGGGAATTGAAAAGCTCTAGCTGAAATTTTTGTTGGATCAAGAAGCGAGACCTACATAATTGCAATGGTTTTTGATGAAGTGCTGGTGAACTCGGTCATATATCGTTTTGCTGCTTGTATCCCTGCTTTTTTCCCCAGTCGCGTTCGTTCCTGCAAATTCTTTCCCGATTCTTACTTTCTATTTTCACGCAGTAACAGCCTCCAGGCATAACTTTTTGACGCGTACGACCGAGTCACTGTGCTTTAAGTTTTTTTGTGCAACTTTCTGTTATGTTGGCCAATTGTTCGTTCCGCCGATTTGATCTTAGATCGTCGGCAGTGACTGCTGCTCCTACACAGCGATCCGAAATAACCAGTTTACCGATTCCGGAGTTAAAACCCTCTTCGTGCTGCACTCTTACTGGGGAACGTTACCATCGATAACTGGCCTGATTGATAGTACTTTGCCTCTAGCAGCTGTTGGCTGCAAAGGTTGCTCATAGTTCATTCTCCCTTGGTCTGCTTTACATAGCTCTTTGACCCTTTGGCATGGTACACAGGCCAGTGTTAATTTATTATCGAAAAGGATGAGTTGAGAATGAATTCTTTTATTTTCACTCGTTCTACGAAATGCAAAAACGCATATTGATGAAAGACCGGTGTGTGTGTGCGTGTGTGTTTGTATATGTATTTGTATGTGGGTGAGTGTCTGTGTGTGCTTAAAATACGAAACTGAATTGGCTGAAATTTTACGAGGATGTTCTCTCTCCGTTAGCGAACAAAGGATTTTAAGCTCAGATTTGAAATACACCGAGAACTCACGTGCGTACAACTCAAAATACAGGTTGTTACACTGTTGGTGCCATTTTAATCTGTTGACCAGATTGAGTAAAAAGCTGTATTTTTAAGAGAATGTTTGTTGTTCATTTGCGAGCTCAGAAGCCTAAAATGAGCTTTTGCAAACACTTGTGCCTTACTTTCGGACACGCCAGTTGTACAGTTTGCTAAATTGTCAGCATCATTTTCTGTCGGGAATTGAACAGACTAGGAAATTGGGGTTTTACAGGGACGTTACCTACCGTACGTCTGCGCTGCGTGTACGAACACGGCAAATTTCAAGTTTTAAAGTTATTAGCATTCTTCTGAATCGAGAACCACCACTGAATTGAATGTTACACTTTTACCTGGGTGTTTGCTGTCGATTTACAGGCTCGCCAGTGCAGAGTGAGCCTTCACTGGCCACCTCCAAGTGGACACGTCAAAAGTTTATTTATAAAATTGATGGCTGCCTCGCCCCATGGTAAAAGTATGTCTGAAAAGTCGAAATTTCATAAGTCTCCACAATCATTTCTTACCGGCTTAGCCGATAGCTGTTCCCCGAAACTGAAAGAGAAGACCAACAAGAACATATCCAGCATGAGTGCACATATCAAAGTGTAAAGTATTGAACGCTGTTGTTTCACGAAGCCGTTCGCGAACGCGCGTGCAATTTTGGTGCAAGTTGCATTTTACTGTTTATGTATGACGTGCCTGGCGTATTTTGAAGGGGCGCTTCTGCCCAAATTTCGGTGCGTTTCCAATGAATGCGATATCCATGTTATTTTTATGTCTTAGTTGCGCACACTTGATGTACCTTTTTTTGCGATTTGGCGATTAATTTAGGGTTTCTGAGCTCGTTTATCTGCTTTCGGTACGGCTGTTTATTTCCAAGTTGGCCAAATTTTACAGACACAGATGAGTTTCGTGCTCTGATAATTTGCGCCTTGCTGCATTTAATTTTGCGTCCTCTGGGTCACTTTCAGGCCCTGTTTCTTGCACTTTTACTCCATTTACGATCTGGGTTGCAAACCACACTTTTGCAACTGCTTGGATGAAGCGAGAGACTGTCCAACTCCTCATTTTCATTGTTTTCAGATCTTTCGATTTAAGATATTTTGTCCGTCACGCCATCAGTGCCTGTACCCCATTACATGCAATATGAGCCTTTCTATGCTACCTGTATGCAAACATTCTTTTTTCTAATATTGTGAGCTCTCGCGAGAGTTCTGCGGCACGCTTAACACCGTGCCGTCCCGCACCCCCACCTTTTCTTTCCCAGTGATTTGTTGTTTAATCAGCTCCTGGATAAATCTTGATTTTCCCCTTGGTTAGGCTTATGATAAGGCTGTTCTGTAATCTGTACTAATTACAGCAGTGCTGGTATGTACAAAGTAGGCAGTTCATCAGCACTACCACGTCCGACAACTTTTGTTTATAATGGACGTCGCAATGTATCAGCACGAAAAGACATCTGTTAGTTCATTTTTATGTGGTACCATGTGTTGCGCATTTCCTACAGAATTTGCTGCTCTTGTGTAGTACTTATTAGAAAAATGAGTAAGCGCATCAGGAGATTGTTTCACGAAATTCATCCACTGTTACTGTTTTCATATGCTGAAATGCGTATGAATTTGCACTGCTCTCCATTAGCATTCATAAACGGTGGCGCAGATGCAGTTTTGGTCTCATGCGAACACTTTTCTTCAAATGCATGATTCGCTAGCAGATTTGGCCACGTGGTGGCTTTTT